TTCAATGTTATGATTACAAATACACAGTACACCATAGTAATCACCAATATTACCTGAAAAACCCCTAGCAACTACCCAATGTAACCCATCTAGCACCTGCTTTGTAACCACCCAGAATACACTTGTAACCACCCATATTACCCTAGTAACCACCTAGAACCTATTTAGAGTAACCTAGCAACCACCTGCCTAATAACCACCCAGAACACCCTAGTAACTTCCAAATTATCCTAGCAGCCACTTCCTTGGCAACCACCTGCCTAGTAACAACCCATATCACCCTAGCAACCTACCTAGCAACCATATAGTGTTACCTGACAACCACCTGCCTAGTAACCACACATATTACCCTAGCAATCCATCTAGCATACATTTACAGTAACCTGGCAACTGCCAACCCAGTAACCACCCAAAACACCATAACAAGCCGCACATTACCCTAGCAACTACAAAATGTAACCTGGCAACCACCTGCCTTATAATCACCCACAACACCATAGTTACTTCCAAATTACCCTGTCAGCCACTTAGTTTAATGTTGGCAACCACGTGCCTAGTAACAATCCATCTCACCCTAGCAACCTACCTAGCAACCACACAGTGTAACCTGGCAACTACATGCCTTGTAACCACCCAGGACATACTTGTAACCACCCATATTACCCTAGTAACCACCTAGAACCATTTAGTGTAACGTGGCAGCCACCTCCGTAGTTACTATCCATATTACCCTAGCAACCAATCTAGCAACCACTCAACCACCTGCCTAGCGACCAAGTAACCATCTAGAACACCTTATGAACCAGCCATGTTATGTTTACAACCACCTACCAACAACACAGTATACCTTAGCAACCACCCATATTACCCTAGCAACCACTCAGGATCACCTAGCAACCACCAAGTAGGCACCCAAGTCCTTTTCAAACATGACTGAGTGACTTTGAGGGATGCAGGAGTAGCTGCTGCTTGCGTGCACTGAGTCACTCTGCATTGACCCTCTGCATGTGTGCATCGTGTCGTATTGACAGAACGATCCGTCATCCTCTTTCACACTGAACTCTGAGTCTAGATCACACTGAGGAACAGTTCCATCCGCTGTTTACTGCCACTCTGATCATTAACACTGTCATAAACAAGCAGAAGAAGAGCTTCATTTGACTGACACAGACTGGTGTCATGCTAATACACGGGCCTGCTGTGTGCGTGTGCGTGTGTGTGTGTGATTCTAATTGAATCATTTCCTTTGACGATCTCACTCTCGTTTTGTCCAAACACTGCACACTGAGAGTGTGAGGATGTGAATGTGATCGCGAGACGGTGACAAACTTTCTTGCAATTAAAAGACCACTGGAGAGAAAACAAAAGTTTTTCATCAAAATCAAACAAGGGTGTGAATAAAAGAAAGACTGGTAATTAAAATGACAATACATTTTACACTAGCATGACTTTATAAACTATTAACATGAGTTTAATATAAAACATCCATACAGCTATGATTCTTAACACTTATAGCCATTTAAAGTGCATGGATGGATAGATGGATGGATGGATGGATGGATGGATGGATGGATGGATGGATGGATGGATGGATGGATGGATAGATGGATGGATGGATGGGATGGATGGATGGATGGATGGATGGATGGATGGATGGATGGATGGATGGATAGATAGACGGATGGATAGATAGATAGATAGATAGATGGATGGATGGATG